GATGCTGTAGTTATATAGAAGATTTACTGGTACCATGATGGAGTAGTTATATTAGAAGCAGATGTAGTAACAATTTTTTGACCAAAAAATCGCCAATTCTTAAAATATGTTTTATGTTGTTCAACTTCTTTGGCAAAAGTTGCTATTATTTCATCGTACTCACGAGATTTTATTTTCATTAGTTTTGACATTGGTGATTTGACAGTAATCCATCCTTTTGTGATATCTTCAATGGCCTATATAAACAGTCAAATTAAACATATATATTGATATCGATATGAAAATTACAATAATTAAATTTATAAAGCTTACCAATTGACCAAGTTCACCAGCCCATTTCCCAACAAAACATGATCTTTCATCAGTTTTAATATTTTTATCAATTCTTTCGTTTGTTTCCATAGTTCTAAGTATATATAAATCTAGAGGTCCGATAATTCCTTTTGATTTCATAAATAATTTTACTGCGCCATAAACAAATTTTTTGATTATAATTTTACTCATAACTACGAATTCCCGAAAGTCATAATCCTGATTGTCAAAAAAAGCCTGAAATCCGACATATAAAATCCTGACAATTCATTATTATAATTAAAAAAAGAATTATGTAAAAAAATTTCATTAGAAATAATGAATTATCAGGATAATAAATTGTCAAGGTGGATGAATTTCGAACTCTTAAGATTATCTGTTCAGGCTTCTGAGAAATCAAGGATCATGAGTGCCGGAATTTTGGATTGAAAACGAAAAATGCAGTATCGGTATACATACATGAATCAGTTAAACGCGCAGTTGTAGGACCTTCATTATAATATTGAAAATCACTTTCCATAAATTCTATCCAACCACCTTGTTTTGTTACTCTTACTATTTCTGGAATAACTTTCTCCCATTCAATAGCTGTAAATGCAGTTACCAATAGGCCCATATACACGAAATCAAAAGTATCGTCTAAAAAAGGTAAACCGTTAAGTACATTCGCTTGAAGAAATTTAGCATTTTCTGGTTTCTTTTCTTGTGGAAATAATGGTATTTTATCTACTCCGGTAAACATAGATGTTTGATATGACCTAGCCATCTCGATTGTCCATGTTCCAGGTCCACAACTATAAATAAAAAAATGGCAATAATTTATTATATATTATCAATAAAGATTTGATCGATTAAAAATTTCTTTAAAAAAAATTACCCAATCTCTAAGACTCTAGCACCACCAGCCGTTAAAG